CCCCCCACCCCGCTCTTTTCGGCCCCAGCACAGTTTTGTAGTTTACAGGGGCCTGCTGCAGCAGCAGGCACAGGGCAAGCCATCAACTTAAATGAGCACAAGCTGTCCCCTCCGGTGAAGTGCAGCCACCTTACACACCTGGAGCCTGTGGGTGTGTAACGGGTGAAGGGCCCCAAGCCCGGTAGGTACGAGGCCTTTACAAGGCTCCTAATGAGGGCCTGCTGGCTAGGAAAGGTGGGGGCAGATGCTCTGGTCTAGTGCCTGTGACTCTGGAGTGGTACCTACTGTTAGTGCTTCTGTAAGCGCTGTTGTTCCTGCAGGTGTTGGAGTGGTAATTGTTACAAGGTTTTGCTGAGATTTACATAGAAAGTTGATGAATATGGAAATAAAACTATGATAAAAAAAAAAAAAACAAGGAGGGTTTGAGACGAAGTGCAAGAAAGTAGATGAATTGTTTGATATACAGTTAGGTCCATATACTATATATTTGGACAGAGACAACATTTCTCTAATTTTGGTTCTAGACATTACCACAATGAATTTAAATCAAAACAATTCAGATGCAGTTCAAGTTCAAAGTTTCAGCTTTAATTCAGTGGGTTGAACAAAATGATTGCATAAAAATGTGAGGAACTAAAGCATCTTTTGAACACAATCCATTCATTTCAGAGGCTCAAAAGTAATTGGAAAGAATAAATAACTGTAAATAAAATGTTTTTTTCTAGTACTCGGCTGAAAAGCCTTTGTTGGCAATGACTGCCTGAAGTCTTGAACTCATGGACATCACCAGTCACCAGGCCTTCACTGCAGTAGTTTTCAGTTGCTGTTTGTTTGTGGGCCTTTCTGTCTGAAGTTTCGTCTTTAAAAAGTGAAATGCTCAGTTAGGTTGAGATGAGGTGACTGACTTGGCCATTCAAGAATTTTCCACTTCTTTGCTTTAATAAACTCCTGGGTTGCTCTGCCTTTATGTTTTGGGTCATTGTCCATCTTTAGTATGAAATGACAATCAATCAGTTTGGCTGCATTTGGCTGGATCTGAGCACACATTATGGCTCTGAATACCTCAGAATTCATTTGGCTGCTTCTGTCCTGTGTCACACCATCAATAAACACTAGTGACCCAGTGCCACTGGCAGCCATGCATGCCCAAGCCATCACACTGCTCTGCTGTGTTTTGCAGATGATGTGGTGCTTTGGATCATGCGCTATACCACGCCTTCACCATACTTTTCTCTTTCCATCCTTCTGGTAGAGGTTGATCTTGGTCTACTCTGTCCAAAGAATGTTCTTCCAGAACTGTGCTGCTTTTTTAGATGTTTTTTAGCAAAGTCCAGTCTAGCCTTTTTTATTCTTGATGCTTATGAGTGGCTTGCACCGTGCAGTGAATCCTCTCATGCAGTCTTCTCTTTATGGTAGATTTGAATATTGATACTTCTACCTCCTGGAGAGTGTTGTTCACTTGGTTGGCTGTTGTGAAAGGGGTTTCTCTTCACCATGGAGATTATTCTGCCATCATCCACTACTGTTGTTCTCAGTGGACACACAGGTCTTTTTGCATTGATGAGTTCACCAGTGCTTTCTTTCTTTCTCAAGATGTACCAAACTGTAGATTTTGCCACTCCTAATATTGTACCAATTTCTCAGATGGATTTTTCTGTTTTTGCAGCTTAAGGATGGCTTGTTTTACCTGCATGGAGAGCTCCTTTGACCGCATGTTTACTTCAAAACAAAACCTTCCAAATGCAAGCACCACACCTCAAATCAACTCCAGGCCTTTTATCTGCTTCAGTGAGAATGAGATAACGAAGGGATTGCCCACACCTGTCCATGAAATAGTCTTGGAGTCAATTGTCTAATTACTTTTTGTCCCTTTAAAAACAGGGTGGACAGATGTTAAGGAGCTGAAACTCCTAAACCCTTGATCCAATTTTAACGTGGATACCCTCAAATGAAAGCTGAATGTCTGGACTTTATGTCCATGTACATTATATAACTATAACTTGAATATGTTTCAGTAAACAGGTAAAAAGACAAAAATTGTGTCAGTGTCCAAATATATATGGACCTAACTGTATCTCAGTGAGGGTATGGCTTGTAGATAAAAAAAATAAAAAGAAAAAAAGAAACAGCAAAGTTCCAACACAGATGATAACTTTCTTGCTGAATGCAAAGGTTAGTTTTCCGAGAATACCCACTACTCTGTGGTCAGTGGCTAAAAACAGACCAGAACACTCTGCTCATTGGTGCACCCTTGCCTCTGCCTCTGGTGGTGGTTTCACCTCAACGCCTGCCCCTGCCTTACTGGGTCAAAGGCGTCAGTGTGTATTAAAGCCCCCGAGGCTTTCAGACGATGCGGAGAACTGCTGGGATCCAAATGGAGCATCCCCTCACAGGCATGTGTCTGTAGCACCCGCTGGCATCGGTGCGCAGGTCCACTATGCCTGACACAGAGAATGACTAATGAAGTGCTATTTCAAGGCCCCAGTGTGACCTCACACACATATATAATCACACCCACAAGTTTTCTCCCAGCAGTCGTGCATGTTAAGGTGGGGGGGGGAGGGGGGTGCAGTGTTCCGCATCATTTAGAGGTGCTTCGGTGTGACCAGACCTGATGAGGTTCTAATGAGTTTATTTACAAAGAGCAGCTACACGGAGCCACAGTCCATTATAACTGAAATAATTTCAAAGTGCCTCAAAAAAACAACCAAAAACTGGGGTTTAATCAAGGAGGTTCTATAGAACAGCTGGAGTGCGCAGAAACCACGTGACCATGTGATCGGCTGGTGAAGCTAATGGCTAACGCAAAGCTGTCAAGAGTCTGGATTTCCCATTACTGTACATGTTGACAACAGAGCAGACAAAAAAATGACTGATGATGTAGAAATCATAAAAAACTAGCATTAATCCAATTATTATTAATATTTTACTGTTTATATAATCTATCTAATGTTTTAAATAATGTCAGAAAAGCTGTTTGTGTTATGGATTTATTAACATTTATTTAAAGATAAAAAGGAAAATGTCTCATTTCACAACACAAGTCAGCAGATTTGATCTTATTGAGCTCAATGTGATCTGAGCAGAACATAATGTAACAGTTTAAAATAAAAATGATCTTATAAAGTCGATGTAATCACTGTTATTTATTAAACTGGTTAATTACCTTGTGGAGCATATATACAGAGTTTAGCACTGAAGTCATCATTTTTCAACTAGCTAAAGTCTAAGTTACAGGCTGACTTCAGGTCTGGATTAGATCATTGTTATTTATAAATTATATATTTTTCTGGTATAAATCGGCTGTTTTACATGATTGTTGAATGAAATTAACATAGTTATTAATTTATTGAAAAAACATGACATATAATATGTGAAAAAGATCCAGTTCAGCTTGCTGTTTATCTATTAGTCTCTATGGAGGCTGTGAGCTGTTGCCCTGTTAGGTCTCCGTTTCTGCTCCTCCATGCTGTCACAGACGCTACCAGTGGACGGTATGGGCGGGGCTCAGTCTAGTGATCTGTATTCAAGTCTATATGTTTAATTCTCATAGTGTTGTTTATGGCATGCAACCGCAGAAACGGGACTTCAGCAGCACTTGTTTTTAGTCAGATGCACAGTTAACAGAAGGTACTTTGATTTTGCAAAGGATGCCAGTCAAAACAACGAGCCCATAGCAACACTGCCAAACATCTTTTAAAAACTCAAACCTCAGTTGGGTATTGGAACCTGCAAT